GCACAGCTGCCTCCCCATGGGCTGCACCACGGGTGTGGGGGAATCTCTGCTCCGGTGCCTGGAGCACCTCCTGCCCCTCCTTCTGCACTGGCCTGGGTGTCTGCAGAGTTGTTTCACAGACATATTCTCAATCCCCTCTTCAAATGCAATTGCTATTGGGCAGCAACTTTTCTCCTTTCTTAAATATGTTCTCAGAGAGGTACTGCCACCATCACTGATGGTCTCAGCCTTGGCCAGGGGCAGGTCCCTCTTGGAGCTGGCTGGTGTTGACTCCATTGGATGTGGGGGAATCTTCTAGCAGCCTCTTACAGAAGTCATCCCTGTAGTCCCCCTGCTACCAAAACCTTGCCACACAAACCCAATACAGCCATACAACGATTTCTTTTCTCTTGAAGATTATATGCTAAGAAGAATGAGGTTTTTTTCTTGAGGGGTCAGAAGAGAAGGGAAATATTTTACATTCCTAACTGACTTAAGTTATCTGTCCAAGAGGAAGGGTACTCTAAAATGTGTAAAGGGAGAGAGCTGTGTTTTGATGAACAAAACACGCAGGAGTTTTCAAGCTTCCAGTTGCCTTGTAACTGCTCAAGAACTTGCAGGTGACCAATTCATAACTGTCACGGTCCACTCGGTGGACTCTGATGGTTCGTTTGCTACGATCTTGAAAGTGCAAAATTAAGGTGACCAACACCAAAGGGGATAGCAGTAATAAAACAGTGAAAGTTTATTATGTTGCCCATGAAGCGGTACGCGACAGAGACGGGTGAAAGAAAGGAGAAGAGAAAAGTAAAGTAAAGTTTGAGAGAGGAGAGAGAGAGAGGTTATAGCTACCACTGCTGATCTCATGTCATCCTAACGGTCCCGGGTCCAGCTGATGCTTCATTGTCGATCGTCGTGGTCCTTGGTGGGGAAGCTTCCCATTTTCGTTGTCCAGAAGTCATCCTCTTATGCTCAGTAACACACCTTGTTCTACCTCTGCCTCAGGGGTCTCCACCCTTCTCGAGCAAGGCCATCGCACATGCACGGGGGGGAGTGTCCGAGGTGGGCAGCCTTCCACCTGGAGGTGTGTTTTGGTATTATAATGAAGCAAAGTTAGTCTAAGGCTCTTGATTTCTTCATCAATGTTATGGCAACAGTTGTGATCCATCTCTTTTGACAGTGGCTCTGCGGTTATCTCTAACCGCTCTGGCTGGGCCCAGGCACCAAACGATAGCCCAGCACTGCCTGCACCGCACGGTCAGTGCTCAAGAGCACAGCACAGCACTCGCTGTGCCACATATTCAGGAGCCTTGGCACCACATTCCACTGCAGGGATCGGCAAGGCCACGCAGGCCGTTGTCAGGGACCTCACAGTCCATGTCCCTGATGACAATATTTTGACAATGCTGATCGTCTGACTGACTCTTACCATAACATGCCAGCAGGAAAGGCCTGGGCATGTGCAAATTACTTGGCAAATCTTATCCCAGCATTAATATTTAAAATATGATTCAAAATGGTGCTAATAGATTTAGCATAGTCAATAACACAGTTAACATATTTTGGCAGCTAGAAAATGAGGCCCGAGGAGGGGATGGCACCCACCATTACTGAAGTTTTCTGTGATTGAAGCTTTGCACTGGCATTGTATTAATTAATTCTGTCACACATCATGATGTATGACTTGGAGTTTTGCACAGCCTTGCCCTCTAATGGGTCCTGGCATTTATTTCTTAATGTGAGAGTGCGAGTGCCATGGGAGTAATTTGAGTGGACACATACTGATGCGTAAGGCTCCCGCACTCAAATTTCCCTCTTTTAAGACACTGTGTGTAGCCAAGCTGAAACTGCATAAGCAGAACAGAGAGTTACTTAAGTTTTATCTCAGTTGATCAGTGTGACATTAAGCATCAAGCAACAAATTTTTTGTACAACCATGAGAATAAGCATACTGAATATTTAACAGCCTCCAGCTGGCCCATGACCATGTTTGCTTTGATGTTCTACCTGCTGCACCAAGAATACTGCTTAGTAGTGCAAATGATGAAGGTAACATGAGGCTTCATTGTGCTTCATGTTGTTTGTTGAAAAGATACGTTACAGTGCTGTCATCACCAGTAACTGAAGTGCAGCCATTCTATTTTTTTTTTTTTTGGCTTTTGTATTAAACAATAATGTGTTAAAAGTCTGCTTTAGAAACAGGAAAAAAAATCTATGAATGAACTTGTAGGACAAAAGATATTTTTTCCCCCTGTACTTTTTTTTTCTTCTGCACCTTTTTTTCCTAAAACCCCCCTCAATTACATATTGATTTTTGTGTTCTTCTAAACATGTTCACCCTTGGCTTCCATTTCTGTATTTATGACAGTCTTGACATGGAAGGTACATACCACCTGAATTCTCCCAAGCTTGGGAAGGCCAGCAGCTTGTTGGTTCTCTTCAATTCTCTTGCTGTCCCTCTTCTCCAAGCTACTTTCCCACCCTCGAGGTTTCCTGTGATTTCCTGTGGCTGAGGGCTGTCGTGGCAAAATGTCAGTGCCCCAAGTTGCCAGTGTCACTGTTGATGGCAATAGCTTCTTATTCTGATACTCTTCAGTTTTGTGGTTTGCTTGGGGATAGTTTTATACTGTTGTTTGTTGGTGAGTTTCTTTTCGAGGGATCTGTGATCCTATACTATGGTAGGATTTTCACTCACATATGGTTCTTTGCTGGACTTTTCCCATATATGATACAACTAAACCTTAATAAATACAAAGAAGTCCAAGTTTTAAAGCTACTGAACAAGACTATGGTTAAAAAAATAACCATCTGACCATTTTATTTTGCTGGTAAGAGTTTAGTCACCTGACTACTTTGCTGCTAGAACAAGCAAAGCACGTCAAGACCAGTTAAGATGTTGGCTAAGAGGAGGACTTGAGCTCAGTTGTCTGTAACTAACAGTGACATATCACCACCACTACCCACAATAAAGTGAGGAATAAACTCAATTTTCTTCCACTGCTGCCTTTCATAAGTTGTTTGCCATGATTTCTGCAATTAGAGAAAGCAAACTCTTTCCTGGAGATAAGTGACATGCCTCAAAATGAGTTCAATTTATACTTTACATATACTATTATTTCACTCTGTAGCAAATAATATAGCCTTCCTTAAAAAATGATGTTATAGGTCAGATGTACCAGTGAAAGCCCTGAAAGTCCAGTTCTTTGGGTACTGCTGTCTCCTAGCACCAAAGGCTCTCGGTGATGCTATAAATTACACCCATCTTTCTCTTTTCCTCTTTTTCACCCATTCTTCTTTGGCCCTTCCAAGTCCTGACCCTCTTGTGTTATACCCTCACTAAGTGCTGCTGTTTACCACTGTTCTCCATGTTGAAAAAATGTGGAAGTGAGGAGAACAGGGACACCATGTAGTGTCTGTTATCAGGACTTACCACCTGTAGAACACTTACCTTGGTTGTCTTCTCTTGAGGTTTGTAGGGTAGCAGTGCTGGAGCAGTTTTGGAGGGGCTGGAGCTTCACGTCTCAAGAGCTTTCTGATGTCTACAGCTGTTTTGGAACACACTGACTGTTTGGAATACAGAAAATCTTATCTGGAAGGAATTTTCTATTTGGAAGAACAGCATTCTTCACCCTGTAAATAAAAGATGGCATTACCGATGCACGTTTTCTGCAAAACAGCTTCAAGTCAATTGAGCAGAAAGCACTGTGTTCCTGTTAATTCTGTAGTGATCTGTCCAGAAGTCACTTGCCACGCAAGGTTTTTGATAGTGTAGCATAGATTTTGGGTCAGTTAGGAAGTTACTTTCTGGAGTTTCATGATTCCTGCCTTTATATACTGTGCTTATGGGCTGAAGGGTCTGTGTGTATGACATGGAAGGCTGCCGGGTGAACTAACCAGGGCCAGCCTGTAACCAAAAATTGGGCTACTCCCGATCTCTTCATTAGGAAAGGAGAAAACATGCTGCTTTTCTTTTTTATGTAACCATCAGAGAAAGATATTCAGCCTTACTATAAGAGTCTGCCCTGGCTCAGAATCTCCATAGATCTGGAAATCATTTGCTTCCTCTTATCTTTTAGCATTGTAGGGTAGAATCCTTTTTTCTCTTTTACTTGTAAAATACAATCATTTCACCTCTTGGCAAGTATAGAAAGATAATGATAAAATTAATTATGATTTTTTTTTTTTTAAATGATGTAAAAAAAGTATCATAGTCTGTATTGATCTTTGGTATTAAAAAGTCACGTGAAGTTGTTATATATAAAAATCTGTCAGTGACTTCTGCAGTCTCTTAATTTATAGCCCCTGGCAGAAAGGTGACAGGGTTAGTCTCTGGTTATAAAGCAACTAAGAATGTTCACTACGATATACTTTCCATATCTCAGCGCGGACTCATTTAGCTGTGTTACCCAGGAAAGTGCTTCTTGACCAGGCAGCTAATGAAAGCAAACTGATTCTGTGGGGCAGAGCTGTACACGCTCAGAAATCTGCCTTGATGAGGAAAAATCAGGGATTAATTCCTCTATTTCACCTTTGCAAACTTTTTTTTTTTTTGTAGGCTTTAAATTTGATTTTACTGTAGTGGGGAGTGAAAGTCAGGTCTTCAGTTAGTTGATATAAAGATTTACTGGGTTCAGTGTAGTGATGATGATTTACATACATGTCTTACTATCCAACCCAGTTTTGTAAGTGACTGGTGGTGCTGGTGAACATGAGTGAAATAAAATACCAGTATTAACCCTGTGAAAGCTCCTTTTAAGACTGCAGATATTTTTCCTCTCTTAGCAGAAAGTAAGAATCACTTGATGAGAAAAAACACATAAACCTTCAAGTTTAAAAGCATTCTCTCTTTTGTGGTGTGGGTGATAAACAGGATTACAGCTGTGCTGGCAGGAGGGATCCAGCAGTATGTGACATGTGGTTTGACAGAATTCAGCTGGGTCTGGCTTACGCCCCTTCCCCCGCCAGTGGTACGCTCCCAGGGTCTCTCTCTGAGGTGTCGCTGCTTCTTTGGAAACCTGATAGGCACGGACACAAGGGCAGGATGCTCCGGACAGTGATTTTCATGGGGTAAAGTGTATGATCGACAGCAGCATCGCTGGGCAGAGGAAGAGAAGGAGGATCAGCACAGCATCCAGAGGCTGGGAGCCTGGGTTGGGAAGGGGTGGAAGGAGAGAGAGAGAGCACCTTTTACTGATGAACAGCAAGATTTTCCCCCCTCTCTCTTGAATTCTAAAAATTGACACGCCAAGACCACTGTGGATTCAGGCTTTCAGAGATTGCTCTGATCCGGATGTTGAAATAAAAGCAGCTGTGGAGCTCTAGGGGGATGCTCTATACGGAGTTCACAAATAAGGTACGTCCTTTTTCTCCTCCTGTTCTCATAAGTTGCTGAAAGTCCAGGTGTGTACATGCAAAAAATGCAGGGACAACATTGAATGCGTATGTGCTTGCACTATGCATTTTCCTGTATTCTTAATTTAGGTCCATCTTCATATTAGCTTCATTAATACTTAGTTTCACATAGAATCTTGATTGCCGTTCTATGTTTCTCCTCATTCCTGTGGAATAAACTGTTTTGTCGTAGGAAAAATGTTTTAGGGTGTAGCCTTCTGAAAGGTATCTGATAAAGTAAGAAAAATTTTCTGAAAGTTTTGATATTTAACGTTTGCACAGAGTTTTGTCTCCTCCACCCTTTCTGAGGGCATTAGGGTCTCTAGACATGTGTGATATAACCAGGGATGATTTAATGATGTAACACGCCTGAGCAGTGTAATGGCATTTTGATAAATATTGTCCTTTTGGACTGGTGTTTCCTCTGGTCTTTTTGGAGGTCTATACAAATCTGGCATTATCTTTGTTATAGATTGAATTCGGAAAAGAACTCATTATTTGTGCCTTTAGAGCCTAAAATATTGATTGATTTGATACTGATTATTTGATCGGTATTGATTTGATACTGGTTATTAGTTAATGTCAAAGTAAGAAATTAAAACGAATGTCCCAAAATACTCCCTTACAGCAAGAGAGCAAGTATTTGCAGAAACTGTGTTCAGGTGCCTTCCTCACAGCTTTGCTTGTTCATAGAGAGAAGGCGATTGCCTGGAGGTGTAAAACTGTAGTCAGCACCCTTGTGGCACTTTTCACCAAAGAAAAAAACAGCTATTTGTAAATAGCAGAACTTTAAACTGCATTTAATTGCAAATTAGCAGTGAAATACTCATCTGAGAGTCAGGCATCAGCAAATGTTAGTGTTTGTGTGCAGTTAGAGAGTTTTTCTTTGAGCTAGATGCAGACATTTCTCTGTGTGCCTGGCTGCACCCAAGTTTGCAGTGCTGAACTACATCTTCAGCAGCAAACAGGCAGCAAAAGGAAAATTTTAATATCAGTCTCAATCTGTACTAGGAGGAGAGAGATCCAGCAGAGAGAGAGAGGGAAAGGGAGTCAGCATTTCCCAGTTACATTCCCAGTCTCTGACTCACTATATGACTGCACGTAAATCACTAAGCCACTCTAATTAAGTTTATGAGCTGGAAAATAGTTATGTATGTATTTACTTCAGGCCTTATTGTTTTACATGAGAAAGGAGCAGATGAGATTTCATATGCTGGTCTGCCAGGAAGCCACTGTTGCTCCTTGGGACGGGATCAGGGTTTTGTGTGTCTCCAGGACACTTGTTTAATGGGCAAAGGGAGAGCAGTGTCGAAGCGGAGGAATATGATTGTCTCTGTGATAGGAAACCTCCACCCAGAAGTGTTCCAGGAGCCAAACCCAAAATTACAGGTGCTGTATCTTGTAAACTGGAATTGCCTTTCCGTTCCTCTTTAGCTGATCTTGTTGTCGCAGCTTTTCCTTGTTGCTTGTTCTCTGGGGCGCTGTTTTCTTGGTTAAAACGATACTTTCTGCATTACTTAGCCCTGTTTTTGTCACCTCTGAATCATGCCTTGACTGCTACTACTTTTCCTTTCCTTCTAGACAGTCTCTGTTGATAATGTAGCTCCCGTATTTGAATGGCGAATGCTATTTTCTCAAATCCACCGCAGGAAAGCAGGAGTGTGAAACCTCTTTTATGACTGCTGTGCTGTAGGTACCAGAGAAATATTCAATAAAACTTCTGCAGCCTCTTCAGATCCTGTGAAATGTTTGCTCCGGGGTTTTTTTGTTAGTTTTGCTGAGGTCTACAGAGACACCCAGGTTCCCTCTGCAAGATTAGGAGAGGTGTAGAGCCAGGTATTTGGCACATATAAGCCAGCATTACTCAGCTGCAGCAAGTTCACACGCAACTGAAGATCTGCTCACCACCAGGACTCCCAGGAAAGCTATTGCAAGAAAATATAGTCCTGTCTGCCCCAGACAAGAGCAGGAGTGTGTGCTCTGAAATGAGTAAGCAGGGTGAACTCAAACATGGATGTGAGGAAATTCTGGTGTGCCCGAGGGCTCCCTGGGGGTACAGTGGGAACACAGGTTTTCTCCTCCTCATAATGCTGGTTCTTGAAGTTGAAGAACTGTGTAATGAGGTCTCGAATTTGGAGATGAATTTTTTAATCTAAGCAGGGCCCCTGGTATAGGTATAATGTGTTCTCGAGCAAGCTGTGAATGTGTTTTGGGTGTTGCCTTCCGCTGCCCTTTGAGGAGGGCACTGCAAATGTCCCTCTGCTGTGGGCACCGGCTCGGGCACTAGGTGCTGTGGAGCGTGTGGTTGCGGTCTTGGTGTGTACGATGCTCTGCAGTTAGGGTGATTTTCTGAACTAAAACCCAAGAAGGAGGAAATCTGTGGTGTTGTTTATCGAACATTTACATGGCTCTTCTTTTTAATTTTCGTTCCCAAATAATTTCTCTCAGTGCTTCTCAAACACCCTCTATTCTCCAGATAAAATAATGCTTGAGTTTGAACTCAGGTTCTTCTGAATTTCTCTTATTGCTTTCCTCTCACCTTCCTGCAACTAGATCTCTTGCAATTAATTTATATTTTGTGGTATAATATTATGATGACTTTCTATTTTTTTGGTGTCATAATGACTTTCAATTTTTTTGGCCTTTGACCAATTCTTGCCGAAGCAGTGACACTAGTCAACATACAAGTGCACTTCTTGACATCTGTTATCTGTTCAAGCCACTTGAATTGTCCTTCCTTGTGCACAGCCCTGTTCATAATCCTTTTTCCATCAGCAAGTCTTTTATCAAGGCTGAATTCAGCACATTATTGAATCTACACTAATTACATTCCTAAAATACTGAAATTAATCCCTAATATTATTCCTCCCAAAGGATCTACCTATATCAGGTATTAAGGATTTGGGGGTAAAATGGGTCTCTGATTGAACAGTGTGAGTTTTTAAGAAGTGGGTGGTCTCAAGTTACTAATTTTGAGAATTGTAATTAACCTTAGGAAAAAAATTACCTAGGGAGGCTGTGAAATTTCCATTGTTAAGTATAGGCTGGACAATCATCTGTAACAACATAACCCGAATTTATCCTGCTATGAAATCAGATAAGGAGTACGTGTTTGCCTGATACTCTCTCCAGCCTGTTTTTCAATCATAAGGATCATAATGATTGCATACCACAATTTCATTTCTCGGTGTCTGCCTTCTGCAGGGTATAAAGTCCCAGCCACCACTGAATTGGCTCTCCTGGAAATAACACCCAATCTTCCAAAATTATCATTGAGCATCATGGTTCTGGCCTCTTGGAAACTAAATGCAGGGGGTTTTATTAGCAGCCAGAATGAACAGTTAAGGGATTTACCTTCCTAATCAGAGGTGACAGTTGTGAAGGCTTCTTCTCTACCCATCCTGCTCAAACGTACTGCGGTTTTCGGAAGAAGGAAATTTTCCATGATTTGCATGTCCCAGCACCATCAGATTCTGCTCCTGGACACAAACATATATCTGACTGCTGTCAAGCATATTGGCAGATATTATACCACAGAAAGCATTATTTGTTGTTTCGTTGAGCTAGGGGAAAACAAACCCACAAATAAACTGTAAAATTCAGATGACTTCAGGCTTGTGAGTGTTATGTGCCCTTTGGACACCGAGGACTAAGGGTATAAATACAAACTTTGAAAGCATAATGTTTGTGATTTTTCAAATCAAAAATTGAAAATGTAACAGGCTGCTGAGATGAACCTGAAATTTCAGTTTTGATCCTCTTATTGTAAATAAATCAGTTGTCCTCCAAAGATGCTATCCTGGGGAGAAACACAGCTTCAGGTCTCCAAATATGACATCACCTGCAAAATCATAGTCTGTTGTTACAGGAGCTATTAAGTTCATTCTTACTTCATAAAAGCATTGCATGCCTTTACATCTCTTAGGAGAGCTTGTGGTTTATAATAATTTTCCAAAACAGCAGAACACATTATCCTTGCTTGTATCACTTGAGAGCCATTACACCAGCACACATTAACCCATTGGCCCACCTCGGCTGTGGATACAAATTCGTTCTGTTTTCCTTCTGGGGGAAGAGGTTTAGCAATTTGCTAAAAATTGCTCATCAAGTAGAAGAAGGGATAAGACTGAAGGACCCAGGGGGTTAGTCTGTGCTTGGTCCTCCAGACTTTTCTGCTTCCTTGAGAGGGTAGGGGGCTGTAAGAATCTCCTTCAGAAGATGGGAAAACAGGTGTACTAGGGTGGAAAAGATGGACAGTGACAAAATCATAGATGAACAAAACCACAACCTGGACAGATTGCATCAGTGGTTTGCAGCTGCTCAGGTAGTGGCTGCCGTAAAGCTCTTGTCTTCTCCAGATGATGTTGTAGAGGCAGATGCGATCTTAAGCTCACAGGCTGGTGTTTGCTTGGGGCATGGAAAGTCTTGTGCTGTGTCTGCAGTGTGCCAGCCACGAAGGGGTCTACAGTACCCTGAAACCGTATGTCAGTGCTTGATAAATCACAGAATCATTCAGGTTGGAAAAGACCCTTGGGATCATCGAGTCCAACCATCAGCCCTACACCATATCCCCCAACATCACATCCAAATGACAGGTAATGTTCAGGTCCATTCTGGTTGCTGTCATTCACCTCTTGTAAAAATGTCCTGCTTTGGCAGCCCCAGGGGCAAATTCCCTGAATTTGTCCAAACCTTAGGAAAAACATCAGGTGATCAGTGCTCTGCAGGAACAACTGAATTATTTCTACCCCCTCCTTCAGTGTCCTCCCTATAGGAAGAAGGGATCAGGAAGATTGCTACTACTCTGTGATCTGCTTTTTCCTGGAAGAGGTGAGGATGACATGACCTTGCCTTCCTCAGGGTAAGAAGAGCCTGGCTAAGCTGCAAAGGATGTGGTGAAATACCCCAGCAGGAGATGAGGAAGAAAAACTGATGTAGGGCTGGCAAAACTGCATTGATTAA